TGTTTGGGCAGTGAAGTCAGGAAGTTCAGCTAGTGTTGACGGCTTGGGCTGAATTACCCGGTGGGGGCAGGCACTAAAGGCCATGGGGTCACACGGTTTTTTTTCTCCTGCTTTGCTCAGGGAAAAGAGAATCATCATGTCCTGAAATGCTCTTTAAAAAGTAGAACATAATAAATATCAAATACTAGGTAAAACCAGTGAAAATTCACATATGAGAGTATTTCAGAAAGTTCACAAAAAAGTGAAATTTACAAATAAGTTTACTTTGCAGAAAAAGTTTTGAAACCTTTGTATAGTTTTTTTTCATAATACTTATTTTCCACAAAGTTTTTAAAGTACCCTTGTATTTAAAGGAAAATAAGTGGATCAAATCCCCAAACATCTGTGATAATAGGTCACAAATGTTAGGCAGGGATGAGGCTAGAGATCAGAAACGTTTAGCCTGTGTCTTCTATGTTGAATATCCAAGTGGCATTGGTTTCAGGGAATCTTTCTTTTGTTAATGGTAGCTTTATTAAGATACTCATATACCATACCATTTACCACTTAAAGTGTGCAATCCAACAGTCTTTAGTATATTCTCAGAGCTGTGCAACCACCAGCACAATAAATCTTGGAAAATTGTCATCCCCAAAAGAAACCACCTATCCTTCAGCTCCTCTACTCCCTTGTCTTGATTATTCTGGATTTTTTTTTTTAATTCATCTCAGTCAAGTATAGGTGTTGCTAAGGAATAGCCACTGACAGGAACAGCACAGAATCCCTATGCTAATGTTTCTTGTGGAAGGGCCCAAGTTATCACCTGCATTAGAAATCCAACATCTGATTTTCTGGGATGCGTCCTAGCCCTACTGAATCAGGATATCATAGCCCAATGTCAATAAACTCCCAGGTTGGACAGCCCTGGAAGGCGTTGGTCCAGTGTTCAGCTGAGGATGTGAGTACTCACTAACCAGTCCATCTATGGATTCTTCAGTAACGTCTCGGCCTGGGTAACTGGAGCCCAACAAAGGGCCTTGCTACTGGACAGGGGCTTGGAGCCACCATCTGCAGATGGAGTTAAATGATTCTTAGAATCAATCACTGCAAAGTGGGTTCACTTCTGTCAGAGTAGATGCTAGGACCCCCCCCCAGAAAATCTTTGCTGGCCCAGACTGTCTTTGTTGAATATTTTTAGGAGGAAGTGCAGCTTGGCTGTTGGCAAAGATTTTGCAAGAGTATTACGTGTGGTTCAGTGTTTCTTATTGGGAACTAGTGGTTTGCTGTATCTTGCTTCTAAATCCTTCAATGATTCCCGAAAGTGATCTGGGAGCAAAACAACAATGAAAAGGCTGCCAAACACACAAATAAACAAACACACTCAAACTCTAGGAGAATCAGAAACAAGCAAAAGACTACACGAACGTGGGAGCTATTTTGCTCATCAGGAAAGAACTCTGACCTGGTCAGTGAAAGTAACCAGGGAAGATTCTGCTCCAGCTTGAAACTCTAACAGAAAATTAGTTTACCTCCTCCTACTAAATAAATCTGCAATGAAGGCTAAAATCCTGGTGGTGGGGGGGTGCAAAATCATTTGCTTATTTGTGTTCCTATCACTGTGGTTGAGCCTACAGGTAATCCTGACTATTGGGAATTATTGAGTTAAATAACTGAAGGAATTTTAGGGCTAAGAAATAGTTACTAAGAGCTGATAGAAGATAAAGTTTCTGCCAACGTCAAGTTAACAAGAGCAAAACAGAAATTAAGTAATTAAAATTATTGAATACTTTTGCTAGGTGGGCTTGTATGTTGATAGACTCAGATAAAATATTCTCAAAATATGCAATATGTAATGTACAAATAAAGAACATTAAAATAGAAGTACATGAACAATGAAAAAAGTTAGCATTCATAGATTCTACTTAGAGTTGTAAATAGAAATACTAGAACTATAAAATTTTTTAAATCTAAGGATTTTTTAAAGATTTATTTATTTATTTGAAAGTAAGAGTTACACAGAGAAGGAGAGGCAGAGAGAGAGAGAGGTCTTACATCTGCTGGCTTACTCCCCAGATGACCACAAAAGCTTTGGATTTGGCCATCTCCTGCTTTCCCAGGCCATAGCAGAGAGCTGGATTGGAAGTGGAGCAGCTGGGACTGGAACCGGTGCCTATATGGGATGCCAACACTGCAGGTGGCGGCTTTACCCACTACGCCACAGCTCCGGCCCCTACTAAGCATGCTTAATAAAATATCCTTACCTTTTAAAAAAAATTTGTATTTATTTTTATTTATTTGACAGGCAGAGATCTTTCATCACCTGACTTACTCCCCAAATGCTCATAACAACCAGGGCTGGGCCAGGCCAAAACCGGGAATCTGGGACTCAATCGGGGTCTCCCACATGGGTGGCAGGAACCAAGTACCTGCTGCCTCCCAGGGTGTGCATCAGAAGGGAGCTGAAATTAGGAGTAGAGCCAGGACTCAAACTAGACGCTCAGATATGGAAGATGGGTGTGCCAAGTGTGTCAACTGCCACAGCAAACGCCTGCTCCCACAATTTGAATTTCAAGAATAAATCCAAGTTTTTATAGCATTATTGTCTGGGAGATTATCTAGATTTTATTGGTTACTAACATAGTGTGTAAATTATTTCTTTTTTTAGAGCTAATATTGGAGGAATAATTAAAATAATTGCATAGACAAAAGTGATAAAATATTTTCACCACCAGTAATCTGTTCATCAGAAGCAATTTCCCAAGTCCTTTTTAATTGTTCACTTGTTTTCATTACATGAATCATATCTCCTTTACTCTGGAAAATGAAATCAATAATATTTATCAGGTACATGTCCTTAGACCTATTATTCTTATCAGTCATGAATATTGAACCAGCAGTGTCTCACTTTTGCACAACAGATGGCTAAAATGCAGCGGTATTCAACCTAAAACGTGCATGCTCTTAACTCCTGGGGTTTAATCGAGAAGAATGTACAAGGGCCGTAAGGGAGGTATTCACAACTCTGAGAGCCACGTGAAGCTGTTTTGCCAAAGAGTACAGGGAAAACCTCACAGTTCAGGGCTGCAGTCACCTGTTGATTTCCCTGGTAGCTGATTTTGGCCTTTTCAGAGCTTAATCAGCCTGGCCAAGCAGGAAACCAGAGGCTACAGCACAGGATGTGCGAAGAAGCGCAGTGTCGGGTCTTAGCCGTCTTCAGCAGGAATGGGCTCCTGCAGAGAGATTTCTTCCCTCTTGATTTTTTTTTTTATTACTCATGTGGAGCTAGGAGGAAAGTAGTCCATAGATTCTATAGTTGTGAGAAATCCTTTGGGCTTGGAGTCGGACCGAGGTTTTTGGATCCTAATTATATAGCCCCTAAGTCTGTGAGACTCGGGCAAGAGGTGTAACCTCTTTGTACCTCCACGTTCTATCTGTAAGCTGAACCCCACTTCATAGACAGGTTGCAAAGATTAAATGAGCAAACATATTTTGCAGTTGATGTACTAACATGCCATCAACATGAATACTGTTGCTGAAAAGCACTAACAACTAAAAACAATACATGCACTTCAAAAAAATCTGACAGTTTTAAAACCGTTTTCATTTATTGGAAAGGCAAAGAGACAGAAAATTATCCATCCATTTGTTCACTCCCCACGTGGTCACAGTAGTCAAGGCTGGTCCAAGCTGAAGCCAGGAGCCAAAAGCTCAGTCCTGGTTTCCTACAAGGGTGGCAGGGATCCAAGTACTTCAGTCCATCTGCTGCCTCCTAGGGCATGTAATAGGAGAACCTTGGATTGGATGCAGGGTGGCTGGGACGGGAACCGGGAACTCCAGTATGGAATGCCAGCATCCCAAGTAGTTAAACTCCTGCCCCAGAAACTTAGATTTAAGAGCACTTTTTAACATACATTATTAAAAGGTTTCCAGGGAAGAAGAAAACTCCTTTCAGAGCAATGCTGTGCGATGCTTGTCATGAATTCCAGAAAGGGAAACCCACAGCAGTGAGAGGAAACTGCTTGACTTCCTGAAACCAGGTCCTTTTGTGCAGATGATGGGAGGGCAGAGGTATTCGGAATTTGAGAAGTAATTAGCCTCACTAACACCATTTCTCTAAATGGGATGTTGGCTGTGAGAAAAGGGAAGAAGGGTCCTTCCTGGACCTGTGACTCCACGAGTGTTCTAACCGCTGTCATGCAAAGAGGTGGTTTCATATCAAGGTTTCCCAGGGTGAGTGAGGCCTATTCCCACTTGTGCCTTGGAGCCCTCACAAAGCCGCCTCCTGGGATCTGGGAAGGAGGGAGCCCATCCAGTGTGTGAGCTACCTGGTGCTTCCGTGTGCTAGGAGCACAGCCCACGAGACACCCAGAAATGAACATAAGAAGGTCCACAGAAAGAGGAGAAGGGGTGACATTTAACCCTCCCTGTGGACTCTCTTCTCCATATGACTGGAGAGTAGAAATCAGAAATTGGTCTAAAAGAGGGCTGGGCTTAAGAAACCTCAGGGTACTAGCTTGTATAAGTTACTTAAGCACCTCATTTTGAATGAAAAAACTCACTTTTGGGTAAATTCACTCTTGGAGTTGTGGAAAAAAAAGCACTCAGTTTGTATTTTGGGGAAAGTTTACTTTCGATTGTCTCATGTAGACTGTGATGGGGGCTGTTGCATTCCAGAAGCAGGTGCAGCCAGCTTACGTCTTGGGTCATGCCTGAATCATTTATGCTGTCTCTTATGTGAACTGTGTCACAACTCGGGCTTGGCACCCTGTGCTCTGCCTTCTGTGTCTGAAATGGAATCTATGCAAATATTTGTTGATTGAGTCTCCTGTGTCGGGGGGTGCAAAATGGGAACAGAACTGTCTTTGATGTCTTGGGTCTCACATCCTGGGGATGGTTGAATACACAAAGAGCTTTTCACTCCAGCTTCTCCCTGTCTTCTAATTTACTCATTTTTACTAAAAACTTTGGCAACCTATTTTTGAGATGTGTTGCAAGTGAATGAGACTGCTTTTGTTATATTCTTTCCTGGAGTGAATATAATGATACCTTTTATGATGCCCTGTGGTTCATAAAGATCAATAAAAATGTTAATGGTTAATGTTTGACCGAAGGTGAAGGGAGAGGCCGGGAGACAGAGCAGAGTTGAAGGAGTGACCTCCTGGGAGAGACTCAAGTCACGGTGAGAGTCTCAACAAACGAATGGAAGGCATTTTTTAACCATCATTTTGTTACTTACAGAAAGGTAAGGATGGACATTTCTTAACTATGTCAATAATGTTTTTCTTTAAGGATGACAAAATATCTGGGGGAGTGGGACCACTTAGGCAGTTGTTGAACAAATTTAATCTTTGAGGTGGGCTATGTAACTGTGCTGGAAGGGACATTTATTCCTGGTGTGGCAAGTTTTGCTGGCAGGGCACAATTTCTTTTCATAAGTTGATGTTTTATGCATTCATGTGAAGAAGTGGGTTTGGCTGAATCAACGTTGGTAGTGGAGTTAAAGGAAGGTTGACTTCTCTGATTTAACAAGTGTTATACCCACTCCTTTGTGATGAACCTGTAAAAGTGCCTAATCTAACGATGCTCTGGGATTCTTGTGTTCCAGAAACTGGAGTTGGACTCTCATTCTGGCAAAGGGCTTCGATTCTCAGATGCAGTCTTTACAAATTCAGCATTTGTTCTATCTGCTTCCCAGAGAAGGAGCTTGAGCTTGGGAATCTTACTGTCCGGGACCCAGTGTGGAGGGGAGTAGAGAGGGGAAATAGTCTCTGTAGAAAAGAGCTGGGGTAAGGACTGAAGACGGAACTAGAGCTGCCTTTGCAGTTGGGAAAGGAAGGTGGTGTATGTGTTGGTCAGATCCTGGTGCTGCTGTTGGCCTTGCTGGTGCATGTGCTACCTGATGGTGAGTGACTGTGTTGTGAAGTTAAGTTATATTCAGCTTGGTGTCTTCCAAACTCTAGTCCTTGTCTGTTTTAGTCTTTTCTTTATTATGAAGGACTTTATGGGGACAGATGGGCTCTGTGGTGGGGGATATCAAGCAGGAGATTGAACTACCAGGGAATGCATTGCATTTCTATTGTCTTTATTTTTCTTCAAGAAAAAAAGAAGCCTCATTAATACCACAGGGGGAATAGATGACATTCAGCTCTCACCAGGAAGCAGAAGCCTTTCCTGAGTCAGGGTTTATAGTGGGTCATAGGACATGCAGTTCCTGAGTCCTCAGGGCTGGGCAGGTTTGTCATGACCAGCCAGTACGCTCCAAGCAGAGGGCTTTGCTCCCTGAAGCTTGATTTTCTCATCTATAAAATGGAGGTACTTGTCTAACTGGAGATTTGCGAGAGGTAAGCTACACAAGCAGCTGAATAACTTACTACATTGTCAGGCATATGGTAGACATTCAGTGATGCCATCTCCCTTTTCCACGAGGAAGTCCAAGTTGGTGACTCAGATGAAACCGAAAAGTCACTGTTTGATTCTGTAGGGAAAGGCAGAAGTGATGCCAGACAAAGAATGATTTTCGTTCTGTAGGAAAGCACTTTTCTAGCAAGGAAGTGGGACACAACAGTGTCAAAAGGGAATAAGAAAATGGTTTTTTCTTTGTAAGAAGCACTTAAAAGTCTCTTGTGGTTCCCATATGTCTTCAGGTGAGGTGTGCAGATGATGTCCTTTGAAATTCACTGTGATGACCCCTAAAAGAAGCCATCCTAGTTCAAAGGGAAGGTGCATCTCTATCACCTCCTCCCTGCTCTTCAAAAACCCAAAATATATCCTGGCAGAATCTCAGCCTCTTGTTCCATTGTCAAAGGAAGTTTGTGGAAAGGGGAATGAGCCCCCAGCTTTTTCCATGTCAAGAGATGACTGAGGGAGAAGGCTAGGCATCAGCCTGCTCACTTCTCTGAAGGTCCACAAATAAACACTCGTACTAGCGCTGGTTTACATGAGAGAGATACATAGATTTATTTGTTGGCCTAAAATTGCATTCATTCAGAAATCCCTGGTGTTGAGTTTCAAATGGGGGCTAGCCTACTCATACATAATCTCCTATTTCCTTGTTTAGATAATCTATTTGTTACTTGTGAGATAATCTATTTGTTATTTGTGAGAACAAACAACAGTAATGTTTACTTAGGTACAAAACATACCAACTTAATAGAAACAGATATCCACCCAGTGTCTGAGGCTTTAATTACATTAAAGTTGATTAGTTTTTGTTTCAACAACATATAGCAGACTAAGCTATACCTGATTGTTGTGTACGTGGTACCAAGAACACTCAATTTCTCTTAAAATATCCTATAATGCTGACATGTTGAGTAGTCTCATCCATGGCATCTGAGTCAATAACTTCTTACAATCTAGTAATTGTCTGAAAACATTAGGAATTAAAGTTCTTGTGTAAGAGACAAAAAGACTCAAAAACGTAGGTTGGTTTAAGCTAAAGGTGAGTCCCTCTTCCTTACCTGGAGGCCGCATGGCTGAGTGGTGCCAGGCTTGGGCTCTCTGTTCAGTTCATAACCTTTCCTCAGTTTCCTGCCCTGTAGGGCAGTCACTCTGCATCGTAAGATTGTTGTGCTGTTTAGCTGACATGAGTTGTTCAAAGTGCTTAACTTAGAGCGGATACTCAGAAAATGCAAGTCTTTTAATGTTTCAATGATAACCTCATCAAGAATTGGATTTCTTTCCTCGTGGTTTGGTACTGTTTATTACATGAAATTAAATTCATTTTTGCTTTCTCTCCTTCCATCCCAGTTGTCACTTATGATTTAATTACAGAAATGAGGACGTTAACCTGCTGTCCTTGAGTATGACTGCACATTGTTGCCTTCGGGCTACCTTATAAATGAATTAGTATCACAGCAAGGCTTTTTGTCTAATTGTTCAATGTCCAACTCCTACGGGGTGAAATCTGATTTGGACTTTCCTCCTACTGACTTTCTAAGGCCAGAATGTATGACTTTATTACCTTGACAAAATGCTCATCTGCACCCTTTAAGCGACATCAAGGTGTGTTGTACAACACAGGAAGAAGCACTGTCACAACTAATCAAGCCCCTTAGATGAGAAGTTGTGACCCCATGAGGCTGGGTGAGACCCTGGGTGATATTCTGCTGGAGACCCAGGAAGGTCCTGCCCTGCCCTGCCCTCCTCCTGGGGCTTCTGCCATGTAAACCTGTACAGCACAAGGAATTCAGTGCTAAGCCCTGTCACCCCCAGAGTGGGGCCTCCCTTCCACTCAGGGCTGGCCTGGCCTGCAGCTCGGAGGAGGGGACTCTTCTTCCTTGCTGACCCCTCCCTTGCTCAGTCTGCAGGGTGCTGGGTGGAGCAAATGCCAACCGGGCATCAGCAGAACCACATTTCAGTAATATACCTCGGAACTCATTATTCTTTTCTTTGATAAGAATTATGCTAGTGATTCATATTGTAATGAACAATTAAAAAAAACTTATTTGAGAGGCAGAAGAAGAAGACAAGAAGCCAACCACTTGAGCTGTAACCGCTGCCTCCCAGGGTGTACGTTAGCAGAAAGCTGGAGTCAGAAGTTGAGTTAGGTATCAAACCCAGGAACTCTGATATGATGTCTCTCTCTCTCTCTCTCTCTCTCTCTCTCTCTCTTTTTTTTAAGATTTATTTACTTACTTGAAAGGCAGAGTTTCAGGGAGACAAGGAGAGACAGAGAGATCTTCCACCTGCTGGTTTCACTCCCCAGCTGGCTGCCATGGCCAGCCTGAGCTTCCTCCAGGCCTCTTGCATGGGTGGTAGGGACCCAAGCACCTGGGCCATTTTCTGCTTCTTTCCCAGTCCATTAATAGGGAGCTGGGTCAGAAGTGGAGCAGCTGGGACATGACCTGGTGCCCACATGGGATGCTAGCATCACAACTGGTGGCTTTACCTGCTCCTCCATAATGCCGACCCCCTAATGTGATGTCTTTTTTTTTTTAAAAAGATTTTATTTATTATTTGAAAGACAGAGTTAGAGAGGCAGAGGCAGAAGCAGAGAGAGAGGTCTTCCATCCGATGGTTCACCCCCCAAATGGCTGCAATGGCTGAAGCTGGACCAAACCAAAGCCAGGAGCCAGGAGCTTCTTCCGGGTCTCCCACGTGGGTGCAGGGGCCCAAGGACTTGGGCCATCTTCTACTGCTTTCCCAGGCCATAGCAGAGAGCTAGATCTGAAATGCAGCAGCTGGGACTTGAACCAGTGCCCATATGGAATGTGGCACTGCAGGCAGCGGCTTTACCCTCTACGCCATAGTGCCAGGCCCATGTGACATCTTAACCACTAGGCTAAATACCTGCCCCAATTTCAACCATTTTCAGTTCCTCAGAGGAGGTATCTATTCTTCCTACAAGCCCATCAACCTTATCGTGAAGCCTACTGGTAAATAACAACCTCCAGTTATGTGTACTTGCAAATCCAGATTTTCATGTATTCCAAGACTGGCGTATATCTATCTTGCAAAGTTTAATGAGAGAAAAAGAGAGCTCGTGTGTGTGTGTGTGTGTGTGTGTGTGTGTATGTATGTATGTGGGTGGGGGGGATGCTTGCATCCCTCCCCCTTTTCCTTCCTCTTCCCACATATCCACGTTTTCTCTTCCCCCCTCTCTATTCCAAAAGCAAACTACAGACATCACCGGATGAGTAATGGTGTGAGCAAGCTTTGAGTTGGAACTCATTCATATCTGGCCTCGCCTAAAACTGATGCAGTGCTTAGCAGTGCGTGCCACAGAGGGGAAATAAGTGGCACCTGGGGTATTTGGTGCTGTTTGGCTCTGGTGATATTGTGAATTCCAGTCACCTTCTCTCCTGCCCACACCACCTTAGGATATTTGAGAATAAATTGCGCCATGCTCCCCTCCTGCACTTGCTTTGTTCTTTGGAACTGCATGAATAAACTTGAATGAGAGGTGAATTGTTTTTGTATGGAAAACACTTAAGGCTTCTTCTTTTTTTTTTTTTTTTTTTTTTTTTAAGAAAAAGGACAAATAGACTTGTCTCTGTTTAAGATTTGCCTAATGGTTAGCTGTATGCAGGGGCTAAGACATCAATGTTAGGATGTTGAGTTACTTGTGGTTCTGGGACCTAGAAATTCCTGTCCTTAGAAAAGTAGGGCAATCCCAAGTGCCTGAACCTGTCTCCTGGAGGCTTTGGAGCCTGGCAGGAGAATGGCGAAGCCCCCCAGCATTGTGGGCACTGCCCCCCGGAGGCCACCTTCCTCAGGTGACTCCAGAGTATTAGTTTGTAT